AACCATAAATGGTTGTAATTAGCACGAAGTAAAAAGCCACCGTGATCGAGCGTTTTGAACTTGTCCGAAAACTGATTACTCCAGATTGTTTTCGATTTTTAAATTTTTTTTTAATCATCTCACCTCAAGCAAGGCGGGAATGCCACTAGTACGCAGGGGGTTACAGGGAGTGAACGTGAGAGAAAAGACTGAGTATAGGGTGGATTGATGAAAAGATAAAAGATGAACGGGTTTCAAGAAGATAGAAGATGGCGATTGACGTTGCTTTTAAATTTTTGAACATTGTCGTTATCAGGGAAACAAGTGAACGGAAGAGAGTTCCACAGTGCGAGGAAAGAAACTGCTGGAGTAGAAGTGACGGTTGCATTTGGCTATTTCAACTGTAAAGGGGTGGGACCTAAATGCCAATCTAGTAGTACTCTTAAGTTCATGAAGTCAAGGCCCCAGGAAAAAAAAACTCGTCAGAGCAGTTACAATGAAAATAGTTGTAGAAAAGACAGAGGGAAGCCACGTAACTCTCAGAATCTGTTATTAAGGTCCGTCCGTCCGCAGAGTTGCAGTATAAACCAAAAGTGAGCTCTGTGGGCCTTGATTAAGCAAAAATGTGTCTGAGCAGGCGTCCACCAGAACAATTGGCTAGCCACCCTTAATTGTATAGTTACCGACTTTTTTTTTCAGGAGGCACGGTAATGGATAGCGGCTTGGATTGAGGAATCGGAGAGCCGATTTCGAATTCCAGTCGAATCCATTACATTCACTTACGTGCTAATACCCCTGGGAAAGGTATGAGTCCCTATCTTCTCCCTTCAGCTATGGGTAAATAGCAGGACAGACTGGGTTCTAAAGACTTGGATGGCAACTGGTCTACCGCAGAAAGAAATAGCAACCTACAGCGGGAAAAATCTGCCTCGTCAGTCATATATCGAAAGATACATGATTGACTAAGCGTGTATCACACATGGTACATAACTGACTGAGTTATCAGTGAAGCAAGTAAACAGAAGGGTGTTCCACAGGCGGGCAGTGCGAGCAAAGAAACTGTTGGGATGGAAGTGGTGGTTGCATTTAGCTATTTCAACTGCTTAAGTTCATGCAGTCACGGCACCAGGGAAAGAAATTCATCAGAACAGTTGCAATGAAAATATTTGTAGAAAAGACAGAGGGAAGCCATGTCATCCCCAGACTCTGTTATTAATGTCCGTCTGCGTAGTTGCAGTATAAAGCAAAAGTGAGTTCTGTGGGGCATGACTGAGCAGACGTCCGCTAGAACAATTGGCTCACCTCCCTTAAACGTATAGCAACCGTCCTTATATATATATATATATATATATATATATATATATATATATATATATATATATATATATATATGGGTTTTTCCCTATTTCACCTTTCTTAAGAAAATTACTGCTCTTACAAACAAATATACACAAACAACTTCATAAAATCAAAAGAAAATGGTTGAATACATCAACACAGATATAATGACAATATTCTCCACACGTGACAAATACTGACGTTATTTTTCAGTTAAAAATATGAAAATAGCGTTTCTCTACATTGCAGTTGCTAGGTACATTCTGTTTTTGTTTTTATTCAATTAATTTAATTTTCGTATTATGCTTTGATAAAGTCCACATTGGACGAAACGCGTCAGCAATTACCAGTTTTCCTATTGTCATTTTTATTCATATATATATATATATATATATATATATATATATAACTATTTAAAAAAAAATTTATAGCATAAATATGTTATAAAATCACTATAAAAAATAGCCATTTTGTTTCAACACCCCTGGTGTCTTATCAAGTGATGATGTTGAATGTAAAATAAATGGTTTTAAAAGTTTCAAATTAATTAACGATACTTCGCAAGGGGAAAACGCTGTTACGGAAGCTAGGATGACCAATCAAAATAACATATTTATGTTATAATTTTTTTTTAAATAATTATATCTGCTCTACTTTGTATTGAGCACTCTTTTAAGAATAGTAATTGTTGGTTATTGGAATCCATTCCGCATATACCAATTATATACTTGGTATATATATATATATATATATATATATATATATATATATATATTACGATAAACGTGCAATCAATTTACAAATTCATGAATTATTCACACAAAAACAAATGCAAAGGTTAATGATTTAATTGGCGAGAAATCCATCGTCGCAAACAATTCAAATAATATACAAAAACCTCCGAATCCGTTATGAATGAAATGATCCTTGTTTCTATAAATTTCTGCCGTATTAGTTCTTATTTTTACTACAAGCTTTCGTCTGTTCCTACAGACATCTTCAGGTATAGAATAGATGTTGTTCTTGTTTTTTCTCTTAGTAATATACCTATACTAAGATGTCTGTAGAACAGACGAAAGCTTGTAGTAAAAAATAAGAACTAATACGGCAGAAATTTATAGAAACAAGGATCATTTCATTCATAACGGATTCGGAGGTTTTTGTATATTATTTGAATTGTTTGACGATGGATTTCGCCAATTAAATCATTAACCTTTGCATTTGTTTTTGTGTGAATAATTCATGAATATATATATATATATATATATATATATATATATATATATATATATATGCTTTAAAAATTTACTATCAGAATAAAAATTATACCAAGCAAACCAGTCCAACTAAGCAACTTGTTTGGGTAGAGAGATCCATTATCAAATATTGCGAACTTCTACCTGGGAAATAGACGAACAGCTATACGCACGCATTCTTATTGTCACGTGGTCTCTTTTCGCGCCTCCCGCTTATCTCAAATTTACATGCTTGCAAGTTGCAAGTCAATGACCTGATTAGAGTCCCTATTATTATTTGGTTCAGTCTTGGAGTCTGCAGAAATATCTGAAAGGAAGAAATGGTTGATTTCAAAGTCGGTGCCTTTAGATACAATCTGTAATGAAATAGATTTCGACAACACGAACAATCTGCTAATCACGAAGCGCTTTCAGGGCAAAACTAGCAAGAAATGCAACACACCAGTGAGATAACGTTATGGGGAAAAGGGCTTGCGGCCACATCACACTGGAACATCGGTTCTAATATGATCATCGAAGTTAAGCAACATCGAACCTGGTTAGTACCTAGATGAGTGACCGTTTGAGAATACTGTGAGCTTAGATGTGCGGGTGGTGTAACGGATAACAGATCGGAAATCGGAGAGCAGTGTTCCAATTTCAGTCGTCCGTTACATTCATTTACGTGTAAATATCCTTGGGAAAGTTATAAATCCACTTATTCCCCACCCCGCTATGGGTTAATTAGTATAACAGTATATTCTTTCTTCTTTTTATGTGGCATATCCTTTCAGGACGTAGGCGATCATAGCTCTCCACCTTCTTCTATCCCTTGAAGCTCTCAACAAGTTCCTTCCCTCTGCTTTCTCTCCCAGACCACGTTCTGTCATCCACTTGCTTAAGTCCGCCAGGTATGTCACGCGTTGTTTTCCCTTGTCTCTCTTTCCCTCTATTCGACCCGTGAGTATCCGATTCTCCAGGCCCTCCTTCCACATTATGTGTCCCAGAAAATTCAGCTGCCTCTTCCTGGTGTTAAGTTTAAGCCTCCTCCTTGTTTGCATCCTCTCTAAGACCTCACCGTTGCTCACACGCTCGGTCCATAATATCCTTAGCATCCTTCTGTAGAATCACATTTCTGTCGCCTCGAGTCTTTTCTTCATTTTTGAGGAAATCGTCCAATATTCGTTGCCGTCAAGCAGGACAGATATCATGTAACAACTCAGTATTCTTTTCTTTGTTACCAAAGAAATCCTTCTGTTACGCAGTACTCTGTCCAGCTTTTAGAATGTGTTCTTGGCCATTTCAATCCGTTTACGGATCTCAGTGTCGCACTTACCGTTCTCTGTGAAGACGCTCACATATATTTAAACTTCTGCGTCTGCTTGAGTCTAGTGTTCCCGACCTGCAAATCGCATTATTAATATCTAAAAGGAAATAAAAATTTTACAGTCTAAAATGATTTTCTCTCTTTAAATAATCTGCAATAGGTTGATAAACAGTAAAAAAAAATTAATTCATGGAAAAAAAAAGAATATATCATCTTAACGCCATGATTTATTAAATACATTTTGCCCTCAAGAAAACGTTAGTTTTCTTTCATGTGTTTTGTCCTTTTAGGGCCTGAACGATCATGACTCTCCACATCATCTCCATTTGTAGCTTTAAATAAATTTTGCCTTTACTATTTCTCTCAGGACAGAGACGCAACTGAGAGATGATAAGTAGACATGAAATTACTCAGAAAGAGTAATTTACACAGTATTCTTCTTGTAATTTATGATTAGTCCTTTTTTCTCGCTTTCCTTCACTCCTGTTGGAGTATTTGTAGTTCCATTTCTGGGTTTGATATCAACACTGTGTCATTTGCATATCTTATGTTATTGTAGCCGCTAATAATGAATCCTGGGAGTACATCTAATTCCCTCAGAATCATTTCACTGTATGGCTTGAATAAACCCGTTGAGAAAACCCATCCTAATTTTCTTGCTTTCTTGATTCATTTTTTATCGCAATTCTGCTCTTTGATTCCTTAAGAATATCCGTGTATACAAAAATCTAAAAGAAAGGGGTGTGAAACAAGGATGTGTCTTTTCACCAACCTTGAATAATTCCGGTGAGAAAACACATCTTTGTTCCACACCACTTTCTTTCCTATCTATGTAGATATAAATTTATTTAACGACATTCAACTGTCCACTAGTAGGCGTTTGAACCTTGCCGCTAATATTCAAATCAGTGATAAATAAATAGCAGGGCAAGTGTTTCCATGAAAAGGAAATCTTCTGTCGGCAACAAAGAACGATATGAAAAGGCTTATCAAAACGCCAGTATTGCAGACGAAAGTTAGGAAAACTATTCAGAAGATAGAAAAAAAAACTGATGTTCATATTGGCGGATATCAACAATGGCTGAATTGAGCGTGAAGAATCTTTCCAGAAGTTGGCTTTACTAAGTTGAGAAAAGAACCATTGCAACAGGAAATCCGGGTGGAATAAAAGCCGTTGATTTGAGTGATGAAGGAAGATGGAAGTCAAAAGAATGATTGAAAGAACGCCGGAATAAGTAGAAGAGGGAAACAGGAATCAAAGCGGGGAGGGGTGAGATAAAAAAAAAAAAAAAAGAAAGGTGAAAAAATTGCTGATGGGAGAAGAGACTAAAAAAAATGAAGAAAAAAAACATTACAAAAGGAAATGGAATAAAACAAAGAATAGTTGATTGTCGGGAAGGAACTGCGAGAAAAGGTAAGAAAAGAAAAAAAATGTAAGTAATGAATATAGATAAGTGGATAAATAAGGAAGAAAGAGAAAAATGGAAAAATCAAGAACTACTAAGGAAAATTGAAATGAAGAACGAAGCGAAAAGATTTAAAATAGTCAATAAAAATGAAAATAGAAGGAAAGAAAGAAAGGGTGAGGAAGAAGGAAGGGAGGGAGTATAGGAGATTGGAAAGAAAGAAAGAAAGAAAGAAAGAAAGAAAGAAAGAAAAAAAGAAAGAAAGAAAGAAAGAAAGAGAAAAGAAAGAAGAAAGGGATTGACTACTTGAAAGAAAGAAAGAAAGAAAGAAAGAAAGAAAGAAAGAAAGAAAGAAAGAAAGAAAGAAAGAAAGAAAGAGAAAAGAAAGAGGAGGGAAAGAAGGAAGGGATTGAATACTTGAAAGAAAGAAAGAAAGAAAGAAAGAAAGAAAGAAAGAAAGAAAGAGAAAAGAAAGAGGAGGGAAAGAAGGAAGGGATTGAATACTTGAAAGAAAGAAAGAAAGAAAAAAGAAAGAAAAAAAAAGGGAAAGAAGGAAGGGATTGAATACTTGAAAAAGAAAGAAAGAAAGAAAGAAAGAAAGAAAGAAAGAAAGAGAAAAGAAAGAGGAGGGAAAGAAGGAAGGGATTGAATACTTGAAAGAAAGAAAGAAAGAAAGAATTTAAAGAAATGTGTAGAAGGAATATGTAAAAGAAAGAAAGAAAGAAAGAAAGAAAGAAAAAGAGATGGAATAGAAAGAATGAAAAAAGAAAGAAAAGAAAGGGATGGAACAGAAAGGATGAAAGAAAGAAAGAAAGAAGGAAAGAGATTAAAAGTAGTCAATAAAAGTGAAAACAAAAAGAAAAAAATGAAAGACTAATAAAGAAGGAAGGTGAGTATAGCAAATTGGAAAGAAAGAAAGAAAGAAAGAAAGAAAGAAAAAAAAAGAAAAGATGGAATAGAAAGCATCAAAGAAAGAAAGAATTGAAAGAAATATGTGCAGGGAATAAGTAAAAGAAGAAGAGATGAAAGAAAGAAAGGAAGAAAGAAAGGAAGAAAGAGAGAAAGAAAGAAAGAAACGAATGAAAAAAGAAAGAAAAATGTAAAAAATCTGAACACAAAACGCTAAAAAAAGATTCTAATTGGAAGCTAAACTGACTTTAAAAAAGAAATGAGCCTAAAAAGCTAACGAATAGAAACGAAAGAGAACGGCAACTGATTACAAAAATCACTAAAACCTTTTTATAAGAAAAAGGCGGGAGAAAAAAGAACAAATTTGCTAGATATATATAAAAAAAAAATAAGAACGATATAATCAACCAACTAAAAGTTAAAAAAAAAACACCCACCCACATAACGTTAAGAAGATATGCAGCGACATTGTAAGATGGACGCGTTAGCGATTGACTGTTGTAAACATTTGGGAAATCAATGCCGAAATCCGGTCCCAAATTGAAAGAAGCAAACTGATGTGTCAGTCGTATTGTCATGTGCAGGCTCTAGCGTTCAGTTATACATTGCTTATCTAAAGCCATGCGAGATTCGGTTCTACAGAATTTTTTTTCAATCAATAACATTTTTCTTCTGGTCGCTTTAAGCCGAAATAAATCATTTATTTAGTTAAAGTGCCCACATTAAAAAAAAAGAGCTTTTCTTTCTTCTATGTCCCTTCCGGATGTAGGCGATGATGGCTCTCCACAACTTTTTATCCCTTATCTCATATTTTGCCATACCTCCAAATCCGCCTTACATTCACAGAAGCTCATCAGGCAGATGCCTGACTTCTCGCCTCAGTCTTTTTTTGTGTTTGATATTTCCTGGGAGTGTTAAATTCTCTAATTTCTCTTTCCACATATATCCTGATTGTTGGTTCAGTATCATCGATTTCTTTCTCTATCATTTATCATTCAAATATTTTTAACATTTGCCAATAGTTTTATTCTGTTATCCTTTTCTTATTTATTGATTGTAGTGACGTAACATTTTTATGGACGAGGACATATTTTCAAATTTGTAGCAAAAACGTTTCGAGTCGTAGCATTATATAAAAAAAATTTTTTTGTTCAATAGTGAATTTCTTCCTTTATTATTTATCTCTCAAATATTTATTTTTATCAACAACAATAACAAAAAATATTCTCATATATTAAATGATAATTTTACTATTTATTGATTCGTTTATATTATTATTAAATTAATAAGTGGTACATTTGATAATAAACTGTTCACTCCAACATACAGTATAAACCATATATGGTCGTTCCTTGACATAGTAGAGGGCTTACTTGTCCCAATGATACCAAGAGTGAAACTGACTGGAGGGTCACCTATGACAGTAAGGTTGAAGAGAGACCAGACTGAACGCGACCAACACCCGAAGACCTCCACAGCGAAATAGGCAATGATTTACATTGGCTCAACCGGCAAACTGACGGAAGTAAAAGGGTACCACCAATTAGGCTGGCATAACCAAAGTGGACCTTCACAGACCAAGTATCCGACAGGCTGATGCCACCAGGTTTGCCAGATCTCGTCATCCCAAGAGTAAAGACATCTGTAGCTTCTGTTCAAGTGTGTAGGCATCTGCGTTGTGCATTGTTTACCAAAATCAAATTCACGTGAATGACCTCACCAAACTGTCTTTACGTGTCCCAGTGATCTTAAGAGCGAAGCCGTCTGGATTTCCAACTCCTGTAGGGCCACACATGGCGGTAAGTTGGAACAAGAGAGAGCAGGGGGAACGTGACCAAAGCCGAAGACTTCAACGGCGGAACAGGCAAAGACCTACACGATCTCAACAGCCGAACCGGCGGACGAGGGCAGAGCTTGACGGGCTGGCGTAACAAAAGGCGGACCTTGACAGACCAAGTATCTGACAGCCCGATGCAACCAGGTTAGCCAGATATCGTCTGTCTGAATCCCATTTGAGCCGCGAAGTGAAATGGAGGGCGACATCTGGCCATGTGTGTGTCTCTCCGTCGTGCAGAGTCGTCCCCCAAAATACAAATTCACGCAAAAGTCTTCGTCAAACTCTCTTTGATTCACACCAATCTCCACCACCGGTACCAGGGGTGGGGGCAGATAGGGAGTGGTATTTCCGATTATCGGATGTGAGCGGGTGTGGATGATTAAATAAATCAGTTATTAGTATAAGAGGTAAGGAAACTGAACCTAGGGATAGTTTTGTACAATACCACAAGATGCTACCAAACCAAAATATTAACGTAAGAACTTAACCCTTTAAGCCCTGACCACCGCTTTACCGGTGGTAGAGAAAACTGAATTAAATCCCAACCACCGGTTGAACGGTGGTAGAGAAAAAAGACTTAATGCTCAGTCACCGGTTAAACGGTGGTAGAAAAAAACGACGTTATAACCAGCCACCGGTTGAACGGTGGTAAAGGAAAATGACTTAATGCCCAGCCACCCGTTGAACGGTGGTAGAGAAAAATGGCTTAATGCCCAGCCACCGGTTGAACAGTGGTAGAGAAAAATGATTTAATGCCCAGCCACTGGTTGAAAAGTGGTAGAGAAAAATGACGTATTGCTCAGTCACCGGTTAAACGGTGGTAGAAAAAATTACGTAATGCCCAGCGACCGGTTGAACGGTGAGTAAACACTTGTAACTATTTTTATATCTACCGTGAAACATTAGATACCAATTATTTAAGAATTTTGACTCGGCAGCTCAGGCAAAGGGTTAACATTGTTCACGAACGCTAGGCTCAAAGGATTAAATAGATTCGTCAAATCTAATTAAGCTATTAAGTTATTCTTCTCGCTGTTTTGCCGTAGATTTGTAAAAGAAAAGACCGAAGACCATTTATTTGCTGTAGTGATTTTCCAAGCGTAGCTTAGATGTGGCACAAGGCCGAAAGTAGGGGGCACTCAGGGAGGATCGAACACACTACTAAGAGCAATTTGACGAGGTTAACAATCTTGTCGACCTTGTGCCACATCTAAAATACGCCTAGAAAATAATTTGGGCACTTCGATGTGGTTTATTGGTTAGCAAGTTTTTCTCACTAGATCAATTACGACTGAGTAGCGTATTCGATCTTCATTGAGTGCTCCACACTCTCGGCCTTTTGCCATACATAAGCTACGCTTAGAAAATCTTTAAGGAATGCTTTAGAAGGAAACTCTCATCAGTATCAGAAATCATTATCTTACAATATAAAATATTTTCTGTCTTTAAATAACCTACAATGGGTTGATAATCTGTAAAAAAAAAAAACCAATCAATCAAATAAATCTTGATCACTACAATTTTCACCTCTACAAATTTAGGGTCAACCATTACATATCTTACATATCATCCGTCCCTGGATGCCTTTATAACAGCCTCTCTTAATAACGCTCTACCTTGAGTGACTCTTGGTCCTTATTGGTTGAACGATAGTAAAAGAAAATGTTTTGGAAGGAAACTCCCACCAGGACTAGAACGAGCGATAACAGTGGATTTGAGAAATTTAGTTACCTGAAAATCTTTTAATAAAAAGATTTTTTATAATTTTCAAGCGACAGTATCTCTAACATTTCCTTCAATGAAAGTCGAAAGTTTTCCGTATGGAAGCAGCTAATGTCACCATTACCGTACGAAGATTTTCTCTCTTGTGGAAAACTGAATTAGACACTGAGAAAATATTCATTTCTTCAGCGTACCATTATATCATCAGGCAGATCGTGGTCACTTCTCACAATGGCTCTTTTGGACATATCCCCCGTGAGGAACTAAAAACTCGATTATCGATCGGCCGCCACTCTACATTCGATATCAGTAAGGCCAACTGGTTTAATTTCAGTGTATTCCTGCACTTTGGCTTGCAGCCATAACCTCATTTGGATTAATGCCGTAAGCGCTTCTCATGTTGGTCGATCACCAATCCGAAACCACCTTCTGTTAGCTTTTTTTTTTTTTACCGCGATGCCACTACGTCTCTGAAATATGGCCCACTGAAATGTAACTACGCCTTTTGACAGGTATTGTAAAAAATCATTTTTTACAACAAGCAAAGCGATAATGCCACAAAGAGGCAAAGCGGGTACTGGGAGTGAAGGAGAATGAGAAGAATTTAGTGTGGAGAAATGAAGAGAAAGGATATAAAAGGAAAGGTTTCAGGAAGAAAGAAGATGGAGATTGGCGCAGCGTTTAAATTTTTCGAAGGTAGTAGTTGACAGGGAAGCAAGAAATCGGAAGGAAGTTCCACCTGTGAGAAGTACGAGAACGATTTAACGATTTAAAACAGAATTCTTTCTCACACCCGACGTTAGTTTTTTTTAATCATTTAAACCCAGGGAAGGCGAAAATGTCACTAAGACACAAAGGATTACTGACAGTGAAAGAGAATAAGAATACTTTAGTAAGGAGAAAGGACAATAAAAGAACAGGTTTCAGGAAGACAGAAGATGGCGATAATGCCACTAAGACGCAAAGGGTTACTGGGAGTGAAAGAGAATGGGAAGACTTTGGTAAGCAGAAAGGACAATAAAAGAACAGGTTTCAGGAAGACAGAAGATGGCGATAATGCCATTAAGACGCAAGGGATTACTGGGAGTGAAAGAGAATGAGAAGACTTTAGTGAGGAGAAAGGGCAATAAAAGAACTGGTTTCAGGAAGGCGATAATGCCACTAAGACACAAGGGGTTACTTGGAGTGTAAGAGAATAAAAATACTTTAGTAAGGAGAAAGGCCAATAAAAGAACAGGTTTCAGGAAGACAGAAGATGACTGGCATTGCATTTAAATTTTTAAAGATTGTATTTGACAGGAAAGCAATCAATCGGAAGGGGAAAAGTACAAGAAAACTATTAGAAAAGAACATACAGTTATATCATTCTTGTTCAATAGTTGAACGGTGAAACCTAACTGCCAATCTAGTACTACGCTTAAATTCATGCAGGCGATGCAGTAAGGAGGAAAGATCAACAGAACAGTTACCATGAAAATATCTGTAGAAAAGAAAGAAGGAAACCAGGTCAAGTCAGTGATAAAGTGACTAAAATCAAGGATGGCAGGTCAGGATCGATTACATTACAGGCCCTTCTTTGAACATTGAAAAATCCGAAGGATCCAAGTCAGGAGGTTATGTCGAGTGCTGGTGGGTTTTCCATGTCAACTCCTTAAGCATCTGCAAAGGCCTGATTTGCAACATGCGGTCTCTTCCTCTCGAGTTGGAAAGTGGCACCTTTTCGGTTTGACAAAATCATCCGTTTTTCTTGAGCCCAAACCTCTTTAAAAGGCGAAGGGCAGTTGAGATAGAGATTTTCAAACATTTAGCAATCTCTTCTGTCGAAATGGTAAAAAGAGCGTCTTCCTGAAAGTCGGGAGGTCGGTCGGTCGGAGCGTCGTCGATCGCTTAGTCTAAAATCACCCAGACAAAATCTGCCAAACGACTTTTTGATCCCCCTGAAAACTGGAGCATGATCCAAATAAATCCTCTGAATGTTTTTTGTCGTAGTTCTGTCGCTTACTCCTTTCAGAAATCCAT